AGAGAGAACAGGAAAAGTCCTGCTACAGATTTCCATTCATGTTTGAGACTCTGGCGTATGTCGTAAAACATTGATTAAGCTTAACCTAAGATGGAACCTTCTGACTGCCCAAGGTGTTTGATAAGATCGTGTGTGTACTTTAAACCTTCATTATTGACTATTCATTAAAAACAGATCGATCAAGTTGGCTGAACTGTGCCGGACTAGAAGTATATATATATATAATCCGCACAATTACTTTGTTATTCGCACCTCTGAGCGCACACCTCTGCCCTCCCTCTCCTGAAATCAAACATTCAACATGTACATTTACATGCTGCTCCTCTGTTTTCTGTCACAAATACACCCACACACCCACACACGGCTGTGAAGCACACGTCCTCAGTGCCACGAACAGAAACAGAGGCGTTAGACCAACAAGCACAACGTTATGACACCACCACAGAGCCTGCAGCCTGATCCTGCAGCCACAGTCCCCGGGTATCAGTCCTCCCCACCCGGTCATTGAGCAGCCACACCGGCTGGCCGCTGTCTCTGTCAATGCGGCACCATCCGTCAAGCAGCCACTGGGAAACGTCAACACAGAGAGAGAGAGGGGGGGAGAGATTCAGCAGCTTTTTGCACTTACAGTGGATGACTGTCCATGATTCTGGTGTTTTTCAGAGGCTGAAAACTTGGCCCAGCGGCATGCACCATTCCATATCCACAGTGTCGTCTTCGATGGGTCTAAATTCAGGCGTGAATCACGGCGATCATCTGTCCAGAGGCGGAGAGACGGGCTGACGACAGCCCCATTAAAGCAGCCTGTTCCATAGAAACACACAGCCCGACTGCTGCGGTGACACTCTCCACAGACACGTTGCGATTCAGTCCGGCTGTTGTACCCAGCGGACTGCTCCTTGTGTGGGCCGAAAAACGCGCAGGAAAGGCGCACACCGCCGGGTCAGACGGGGGTTGTTTTTACTCAGCGTCCCCTCTCTATTACTCCTGGGTGTTTATGGGTGCGAGAGGCGGACGGACAAGGATACCTGTTATTTTCCAATCGCTGATTAAAACGCACAAACAAGGACATGTCGGTAAAGACGGTCCTCTGAGCAGCCAAGGCGTCCCAGAAGAAAGCGCTGTCTCCCTCTAGCTGTGGGAGACTCACGAAACTGAACAAACACTCCGTTCAGTTTGTTCATAAAGAGACAGCTCATAAACAGGAACAGAGGACCTTACATTATAAAGTAAATCATTTACAGTATCACAAGGGGAAACTGTAAAGTGACACTGTAAATACTTTAGACTTCATCATTTACTCCAGGTTTGGTCTTATTATGATGGACAATTTATGCCCTATTTTTGTTGCATTACTTTTTATTTTTTATTCAGTTTAAAAATAAGAACATGAAACGTGTTTTTTGCTTCTCATCAAGCCCAAATTTTTATATCTCTAAATCTGACTTTGTAAATCAGAAACTGCTTTATAATGTCACAGTTTTGACCTCGTACTCTAAATTTGATCCTGTTATAAATTTGACTTGGTTGACTGTTTATGATCTACGTTTGTATCATTTTCAGCTACAGACTCAAGGTGTTTGATTTACTTTCATAAACTATAACGAGTTATTTTGATATACTACCGCGATTTTGATTAAAGGACTCAAACTTTAGATTTTTAAAGTCTAAGTTATACTTTATTAAATAAGGTCAATTTATAAATCAGTAAGTTGGAATTTAAATTTTCATGGCAGAATTTAAATACTATGGATTCAGATTTTAGATATCATATTACTGAGTGTTTGCCTCATGCTAAACCTGCCTTAGCATTTCTCTGTTTTGATTTTATTACGAAATTTGTAGTAAGTCAGTTTTATTTATATGCACAGTTAAGACCAATGTGTTTTGTAGTAAAATAAATAAATAAACACATAAAATAATACTATACTATAATATCTAACATAATTTTTCTTTGCACTACTTCGAAGCACTTTGCAATTTGTTCTCCGATGTATCTTTCTATTGTTTTTGTATATATTTCTCCTGTATGCTATTTATTCCTGCTGTCTACTATTTATATTTTATTCCAACACAGCTGATGTGGAGCACCCACGATTTCGTTGTACATGTACAATGACAATCAAGTTTTATTCTATTTTATTCTTTTCTATGTCTTTTAGCTTTATATCTTACACTACTGGCTTAAATTCTTGTTATTCTGTTCCTAGTAAGTCACAATTTTGATTAAATTTAAACATAGGATTACAAAACTTTTATTTATCATCAAGCACAAAGTTTTATTTTAGCATTTTACTTTGTAAGTCAACATTTTCTTCATTGGCATCATATTTCTCACTTATCAGTTTACTTTTATTTCATTATTTGGACACTTACTCAGAACCCGTATACAGCAGTACATGCCTGGGGCTATTGTCATGCTGCACAATGAGATCTGATTGAGACTGATTGCTTCATTATCTAATAATTCTGTGTGTATCTCACAAACATGACCACAAATACTCATATATCTCATCCTTGCGACTACCGTAATATGTTCTGCTCTTCTCTCCCAAGTCATGTCTTTGGAAGTCAAAAATTGACATACATGAGCATTTATATTTTTTATTAGTCTTCCTGTCAATTTAGATATCTGCCTGCATTAGACACACACTATACAACATGTTAAATGTAGTCCATTTCAATCAGAAACTGTACTAAAAGAGTGGATAACTGCTAATTAAACACATTAGTATTACATTCAAAATCCAGGTTTCTTCATGTCAGGACCACAGACCCATTTGCAGACATTTTTGTCCTCGGAGCACCATCTGTGAGGATATTTTGCCTGACTGTACTGTTTGTGAACATGCAAGAGCTGTGAGAATGAGCAGAACAAATCTGCTGTGGTGTGAAGACACCAATTACATCAGAGACAACATGCTTTCATAATGCTCTGTACTCACTACTGACTCAGTGTAGTGGTGACCTGGAATAAAAGCTGTTGGCAGGTAGATTTGTTTAAACCAAAATGCCAAGATAACAATGTTATTTTGTTTTTATGTAAACACAGAGGACATTCCAAATAATTTATTTCTAAATTGTGTTTTTTGAGCAACAGTCACATGTGCGTCTAGTATTATTATATCAAGTATTACATCTATTGATGTAATACTTAATTTCCACAAAACTGAAGGATTTCTAAAGGAGTATCAATACCGAACCAAAATGCCACAACCCATTGTTTTTATCCTTCCATGCCATTTAAACACTGACCCTCTGGTTTGCACCAAAGGCTCGGTTCAGCGTTTTATCAGAAGACGATGCAAAGCTAGTTTTAGAGGTTGAGTACTACTCATTTGTGACCCACCAATAAACCCGAGGAGTACACCTTGGAAATTTTACAGGGCGAGGTCAAACCTGTTTCAATCACTATATCACAAAATGCACTTTGCAAAAAAACCCAAAAAACTAAGACTTCAGTATAGTTTCAAAAATTATCATATTTTATTTTTACAATAAAAAAAAATCAACAATGAAAATATTTACATAAATGAAAACAGAGGAAAAAAACTGTAGAAATATTGTAATAACCTCCCCACATTTCTGCAGGAAAGTGCTCTTTGTTTTAGGTACAGTCACATTACACTGCCATCCTTCAAATCCAGACTTTATTTGCCCATTACTTCAAATGAGGCATACACAACTGATGAATGCAAGCTCACATATCTTGTTTCTGTGTCATCTCCAGCCAGCCTTGGCGGACTCAGGTCAATCCCAACGTTGCAGAGTCTTTATTTTGGCAAGCGACTGTTTTGCTGTTTCCAGGCGGTTTATTACACACACTGGATGCATAACAGCACATTTTGAGAGCGGGCCAGTTTCAAATGATGTGACTGTACATGTGGTGTGTTAGTTTTGCTTTAAAGGGGCAGGGGGCAGATTTGCAGAGGCTTGCTCCAGAAAGGCCAGCGGTCCAGGAGGGGGAAGGTCTGAGGGTTTACGATGCTGACCGCTCACATCCTCCAGCACTTGTTGCCAGTGGTGTAGCTTCGTCAAGTGCTTCTGAACCAGCATTTCTTTTCTCTGTAGTTCATTACGCAACTCTGACACATCCTGAAGTGAGAGGACAAGTTGACGAATTGAGAAAAATGAATAATACATACATTCATGACTAGTTGTTTATTTTATTTTGCACAAATAACAAGGAAATTTATTGGGAACATAAGTGGACCCAATTCATTGCAATAGTTTACCTCTTTCACCACTTGCTCTGGTTTCTGCACAGACAGCTGAAGCCTTTTCTGTAAGAAGAAGCACTCAGTCTGCCGAGCCACATCCAGAAACTTTTGTATGCACTGGTCCACACCTACAATAAGCACAACACATGTCAGCATACGGACTAAAATCTGAAATGTGGAAAATAAAAGTGTTGTGCTTCACTGACCTGTTCGAATCTCCTCCTGGTCTGTTCCATTAACGTAATCTTGGCTCACCAGGGATGCAAAACATGCCTAAAGAATAAAAAGAGACAACATTCTTAAATCATAACAGACATTCTGCTCAACCATCTCAAATTTGGCTAAAACTTTTAAGATCAAAGGTCCAAAATCTGGGGCGACTGTGGCTCAGGGGGTTGGGAAGCGCATCTATGACCGGAAGGTCGCCGGTTCGATCCCTGGGTTCTCTGTCCTGGTCGTTGTGTCCTTGGGCAAGACACTTTACCCTACTGGTGTTGGCCAGAGGGGCCGACGGTGCGATATAGCAGCCTCGCTTCTGTCAGTCTGTCCCAGGGCAGCTGTGGCTACAACTGTAGCTGCCTCCACCAGTGTGTGAGAGTGAATGAATAGTGGAATTGTAAAGCGTTTTGGGTGCCTTGAAAAGCGCTATATAAATGCAATCCATTATTATTATTATGACATGTATGATGATTTCTGTGAAATGCTACCTTTCTATATCAGATACTTTTTAGAAAAATGATCTGTTGACCCACTTCAAGCATGTTTTTTCTCACCCTGAAATCTGCCTTGGGGAGTCAAACAAGTTCACAGTCTTGCAGCATTCATGGCAGTAGTCAACATGCCGTAGCAGTCGTAGTATTTGGGTAAGCGTGTTGCACTAGACTGCTAATTATGGCATGTGGAGATGGAAACCTGAACTACTCACATGAAATGAGTTACTAATCCCCTTTTCCCTTAATTATTTTGCTGTACCATAAATGTTGAACTGATACTTGTTACGTTGTCATGCTTTTATTTATTTTTTTTAAAGTTTTTGAGATATTTCTGATCACACACTGCCTCAGACTGCCTAGATATCTAAAATAGTATTTAACAAATGAAGCTAAAATTTCACAGCAATCATTATAAATTTCAAACCCTGAAACTTTCAAGCGAATCAAAGGTGCTTAAGCAGAAAATGTTCTTTTAAAAAAAAGTGATGATTTGATGTGGAATGAGTGATGTTCCAGCTTTGAGTCCAGGCAGTTTTCTAGACTGCTTGTCCCCACATAGATTAATTAAACTTTAAAATATGTGAATAATACCTGCCTCCCAACCTACACAAAGAAATTAGCAATGCTGTTGATTTGCAACTGAGGATAAATACGATAAAGACATCAATGCTAGTAAAAAAACTGTAACTAGAACTACTTTATGTTTATGCCTTAGTGAAACTTAAATATAGTCTGCATTAAAGAGCTCCATTCTTGTGTTTGTCACTGGGTGCAGAGATTTACTCTGACAGCAGCATTATTCACAGTGGTTTCTGATGTCAGGTGATAAACACCTGGCACATAAATGGCATTCATTCGGGCAGCGAGGTTTGATAGTAGCTCTTTATCTGTGGATATCCACTGGGACATCTGTGGTTGTACCCTTTTTCTTTGGAGATTACATTTGTGTGAAAGTGTTTGTACGGGTCTGTCTCCAAGCTTTGTCATCTTGTAAATTTTTCCAAAGGCATGCTGAAACTGGTTTCATAATATAAAACCACAGCTATTTTTGAAGAACTAAGGTCCCCAACCAAAAGCAGTTAGACGCATGTGAGAAGATCCTTCGTGTAATTTATATTGTGCAAAGAGAACTCAGCGTGGCAGTGCAGCGTGTGGTCTGGACACAAGCTCAGCAGAGACATTTCGACGTGG